CCAGTATCTATCCGAGGCGTTGTTGGAGCGCTTGTTGCGCGTCTGCTCCGCCTCCCGCCGCCCGGACCGAGACCGAGAACGAGACCGAGACCTCGAACGCGACCGCGACCTCTTCTCTCTGTCGCGATCTGTAACAAACAATTTTATACCTCACTAGCTGTTGCTGGCGACTTCCTCCGTGTGGAATTATAAAAATGTTACTCACAGATACAATACCTTTCTAACAGTAAAAGAATTTTTAAAATTGATTCAGTAGTTTCTGAGATATTTCATTACATACAAATCTTTCCTCTTTTTAATATTACTAGTATAGATAATTCTGCCTATATACTTCTACATCTAGTACATAAGCTTTTTATCTAACGGTCAGGGTCTATCGGTGATGACAAATTGGAGATAGTCCATTTAGTGAAAAGATGGTCCTAAAAAGAACCACCCGGAGACCATAAATTGAATAAAACTGCTTTACAATCTCAGGTAGTATTAAACTATAAAATACATGTAAAATACTTATAACTTATTTAGGAAAAGAAAATCAATATTTTCCATCACATTTATTAAATAAAAATAATACTAGTTCAGATATTATCATCCATTTTCTTATAATACTTTTAAAAAAATTATAGTATGCTGTTAACGGACAATGATACTTTATTTATCAGGTTATTGACTAGGGTAAATTATGTGATTTTTAACATTAAACTAATTGTTGAGAAAAAATTAAACTGTTCAAGTAATAACATTCTATCTACACTATCAGATATAGTTTTTACTTAATAAGCCTATGTATTCTTCCAGGCAATGTTTTGTTCCATAATAATCATCCACTCATCTACCTAAGTATTCACATTTTCAATATTAGTAACATTTACAATGGCCTAAAATCTTTTGGTAAGTAAAGAAGATTAAGAAGAATTTATAAAGGTAATAACATGTTTATATAGCTTTATTTTGCTTGTCAATAGCGCCAGGAGTCTACCAAAATAATAAATATGTTATTACATGTAATATTAGAAAAAGTGTGTCCTGAGGGTGGCATAGAATTCCAAAAACATAAGTGAATAATGCAAAATTAGGTTTTTAATAGCAGCAACTTGACAATTACTAAAATATTTTGTTTAATAATTTGTATCACAAAGTATTTGTGAGTCCAGGTTTAATATACTGCTATCTCAATTCTATAACATCTACAGCAATAACAATTATAACTTCAATTGTGTATAACACAGCTATTATGCATTTTGGAGGTCATCATTGTGTCTGCATTTTAAGTCTTCCTTTACAATAATATAATCTAATATCAAGATTCATAACAAAGTATGTTAATTTCAAAGATTAATCTCGGATAAAAGTATTTTGGAGACATTTATATTTCAAGGTGATATGAACATAATTCTGTATACTTAAACATACCATAGCTAAAAGGCTTTAGTGGTATTTAGAAACTAAATAATGTTTATGATTTTAAATTACATAAGTATTTACTACATAAATAGGATCAAACATTATTTAGAACTGTCGAAACCAACCATTGCATGTGTTTTACATGCATATTGGAATAGATTGGGGAAAGAGTGAATTTAATGAACTATAGTAGAACCTCAATAAGTTAAAGTCCAAGGGAAACACAAAATGTTTGAAGTTATCAAGGGCCTATGTTATAGAGGTTTTTTTGGTCTGATGGGAAGGAACAGATTATTTTTTGAAGTTATAGACATTTTTACGTTATCGAGGTTTGAGTTATCAAGGCTCTACTATAATAGAAACTGATCATATGGTAATTACAATTACAAATAAATGAATTAGTAAATAATAAGAGGAATCAATTAATTTGTAAATTATCCCAATATCAGCAGTAGCCATTGGTTATTATAATGAGTTATTAATGATTTAAACTAAAGTAGATTAACATAATGACATTTAGTAATTGTTTTGTTGATGAAATTGGTGTAACCAATAACTAAAAAATATTTTAATTGCTTTAAGCATAAGTCTAAATTGTATATTTAACCCATTAGTAAGGTATCAATTTTATTTTGCTATGGAAGATAATATTTTTATTATTTTACTATGGAATAAAACATAAATAGGTGATAAGTATAATAATAATAAATAGAAGATTACAAAATTAAGATGGGGCTATCCCAGTGGTTGAGAAAATAAGGAGTAATAGGTTAGCGTGGTATGGCCATGTTATGGGAAAGAGATGAATCGCATCTAACAAGAAGGATGATAGTTTTGAATGTGGAGGGGTACACAGGTAGAGGTAGACCTAAAAAGAGACGGATGGATTGTATGAAAGGTGACATGAAGAAGGGAGTGATGACTGAGATATGATAGAGTTATTTGGAGGACAAAAACCTGTTGCGCTGACCCTACATGAGTATGATAATGATGATTACAACTTAAAAATCATACTTGAACACTAATATTTGGATTACCTCTACAATTTTGTGATACAATAAATATGTCTTAAAAAAATTACCACATGGGAGTTTAAAAAGACCACATTGGTTTGACTTATAGCACATTGAAGTTTGTTGCAAGTCCCTGCACTACAATATCTTTGAACTTATATCTTTTTTTAATGACCAACAAATATATAAATATGTTGAATCTATTGATACAGTTAATAAAATTGGAAAGTCTATATGTAATATGGGAAAATAATCCATATATGTGCACAAGCCACATCTGTACTGAGCAAAATCCGTAACAGCTATGTCAATTTGATGTGAAGGTATTTTGTGTACCCTAAAATATGTAATAAACAACTTTTTATGCAATACTCACTGTTTCTGGTAGAGTATGTGGAATCTTTGGATGTCGTCCGCCGAGAGTCCCATTCCCGTGGCTTCTCCCACTGTGACACTTCACTGATAGAGTTATAATAGTACTTCTTCCCTGATGAACTAATATGTTCCGACCATTCACTTGTTGAAGTTACGCTTGAAACTGGTGCACTCCGTTTATCATATTTACTACTCCTACTAACACTACAGTTCATGCCACTAGGCCTACTTTTCTTCTCAGATTCACATCGTTCATGGTTATTCTTTTCTCTATCACATTCTTTGCTGCGTTTCTCTTTCGGTGATCGAACACTGTCTGAAATTTGTTAATAAAATACCTATCAGTATCTTATCAAATATTCCAAAGGGACATTTTACTACAATAATTATATTTCACACCTTAATTTACAAGTATAACTAGTTTCAGACCCATCAGGGGTCATTATTCAGGGTGATTTGTTTTACAGGCTATAGCCACACTTGCATGTGCAGTGAGTATATGTTAAGTCATGATTTTCATCAGAGTATTAATATCTTAATATTATTAGTAGTGTTAGTATCAGTAGAATGGCCTATTTAATAAAAAAATACCTTACAAACATAGTAAAGTAACATAATACATAAAAAGATCAGCATTTGTATATGCATTCGCACCAAGTATCAAATACATTCGCAATTGCTGTCATATAAATACTTATATAATAACAATTATTTAATAATAAAAATAACATACAAATATATGTGGCTATTCAGGAAAAGCTAGTTTATAATAAATAATAATAAACCCACCTGTGTACTTATTTCTAGATGATTTGTAGTCTCGATCTCTCTCCTTTTCGGAATCTTTTTGCATGTAGGAATTTCTAGGTATGGTATGTGGCCTTTCTTCGACCACATGACTGTAATGGTGGTGGGCCGAATGAGCTGAGTGTCCGGTGTGTCCCGTGTGTCCTGTGTGACTACTGTGTCCGTGTCCATGCATGAACACATTGCCATTTGGTGATCTAAGTGATGCATACCGTGTTTCAGGAATGTAGTCACTATTCCTCCTTTCAACCTTGGAATTGTACTTCTGGAAAACAAAATCATAGTTAAATGCAACCATAACCAATTTCGCTGTCAACAAAAACATGTTTGTTTATAAAATGGAAAAGTAAAAGTTGCTCAGGTTATGTAGAAGTTGTCATTAATCTTCGAAAAATTCCATATAAAGGGTGGAGCTCGCCCGACAAGTGGAATAACTTACGTTTTTATTAATTTCTAACACAAATTCAACATGTATATCACAAAATACGACAGTTGTTAAAAACAAAAATACTCTTAGTCTTAATTAGATTATTGCAAGGAAATTGTCTAACAATTACATCTAAACTCATCCCAAAATAAAGAAACTTACTGATAGAAATGAAGCCATCTACCAAGAAAAGATGCTCCTAGTGTAATAACATCGAGAATGACTCGAATTAGGAAGATGTTAGCAAGTTTTTTTACTATAATCTACACGATATACTTGGAAAATACTTTGAAAGAAAGCCTTACCTGGTACGGATGGGTTTGGTGCTTCTCAAAGTACCTGAAATCAGAAAAAACATTTAGTGTTCTCTTACGATCCACATAGCACTTGTCGATCGGCGACCGCCATCTATATAATATACTGCTAAAACTTAGCATAAGAAAACGTATCGTACCCATCGCTTATTCGCTGAGGTTTCCTTGCATGCATTACCATCAATGCAAATGTACGATTTTCTTACGGCATCAGTGACAAAATGTGAAATAAGACCACCGTTACAGTTTTATAAGAGACCGCAATACATCTTGATGGACGCCATGTCACATTCGAGACACTTGAGAGAGTCGATGGAAACGCGAAAGAGATAAAAAGTAATTCGACAACGTATGCTCGTAGAAGAATGACGGGGACTGATGAATAGTTTCATCTATAATTATCCTTTATAAATTAAGTAACATTTTAGTTAATGGCGAAAACGTTCAAATAACTTGATTAAGCCTCGATTCAAAATATATGTTTAATTTTTTCAGAGAATTTTCAACGCCACAAACTATATAATTATAAGTTTCATCATAGATAAAATAGTCGTCTTTACTCTATGACTAATGCTCATTATAATTATTACTATTATAATTTAGTTATTTAACTACTAATTAATATTTATTGTAAGGAAAAAAATAATTATGATTATTGTTAATTATTTAAAAATGTAATATACCTAGCAATATTTATTATTTTGACTGCAAACATTACTGTCAAGCTGTCAAGTTGACATTTTGCCAGCATTTTATAAACCTACTCGTTGATTATATATTCTTTGGCTGCCATTGACAATATAATTTCTTTTTTCATCTCTCTTGACTTTTGATTTTGACTGTGAAAAGTAGAAAATAACCTCTGTCGTTACATATTTCCTTTGAATTTGATAGAAAATTACTAAAACATAATATGGCTAGACTTGTGGATTTAGAATTAAAAAAAGCTTTTGCGGAACTACAAGTAAAAATGGTCGAAACTAGAAAAAAAATAACCATAATCGACACTCAAATTGAGGCCTTGGATAAAGTATTGAAGTTTATAGAATCTACGCAACAAGAGTTAAATGTTCTGCCAAATGATACCAAAACTTATATACCTGTGAGCAGAATGTTCCTTCAGGCGGATTTAGGAGAATTAAAGGAAAATATCGAAGAACGTGTATCTATGCTCCAAAAACGTATCACTGAGTTAGAGAACAAAAAGGAGTACTTGGTACGAAAACTGAGAGAAAGTGAAGACAACATCAGAGAAATGGTTCAGCAAAAGAAAGGACAGATTCTTGCTGATGAGGATAAAGCTAATTAAATTAAAATTAATGTTTTCTTCATACATCACAATTGTCGTTTAAAATTCTAAGGAGGTTGTTTTTAAACATTATTAATTATAATGTAACTTGAATACTATTATATAATTAATTTTAATATGCTGTATTACTAATTTTTTAAAATTGCACTCTATGACTGTCATGAAGAGATTTTTACTATAATCCTAATAAAATTGTATTATTTACTTATGTCTTTTTTTACCAATGCCTTAATTCAATTTAATTCTCAAGTTGCAAAGATATTACATATGATAATATAACTATAAAAACAAACAACTTAAAGGGACTAAAACTTAAAATACCACATGTCTCAGACATTTTACTTTGTAGTCATTTATCTGGTAAATTTATCGTTTGGCTATAAATCAGGAATGTAATAAAGTAACTTGTCCACGTATAAGAGTATATAAAGGTTATATTTATTAACCTTGACCTAGCATTCATATCATGTTTACTTGCACAAAGATAAGTGAAAACCAAAGTCCATATTCAAGAAGTAAACAAGACTTGTTTGTTTACAAAACTTTATTGTAAAACTTTTAATTGCAAATGTCAATTTTCAAATGCACAAAGGCCATAGAATAACATCAACCTTTACCACGGTAATACAGCTTTTTGCACTTTTTTCAAAATTTACTTACTTTACCCTCTAAATTAAATAGTGTAAAGATATATGTAGCTTAAAGTCTGTCATCGGTGCAGGCCTTTAAAAAAATATTAAAAAACATGCTGCGACTGACATTCTGCATATCATCACCAGCTCACTATATGTCCCCACCAAGGGGCTCGGAGCCTACCCTAAGGGGTGATATTCTGCATTTAGATGAATAGAATTAAATACTGGAAACATGTATTCTGTTACTGGACTAACATAGTTCCAGTCCCAAATTATTACATATACAAATTTTTCTTACATAAACTAGTAGAGTATAAAACTTGGGGTGTTAGTAAAAGACATTGTATTTTTAAATCTTTTAATTTCATTTTTACACATCAAGATTTTTTTTTATTACTTATATATTGATTTTATAATTAAATCATAATTTCGCATAATAAAAATTAAAATTATAAATTTAATATACTTCGCATAATTAAAATCGATACTTACTTAACAAAACTATAAATCCTAACAAAAAATGTACGTAAACAAAGCAAAATATTTACATAACAATCTAAAATACTATTTCATCATGTGATAAAATTTTAAAACAACAATTTAATATTTTATCAAATAACAATTCTTGCTTCTCTGACAGAGAATGTGATGTTCTGAACGAAATTAAAGTAAGCCTTACAAGCAATGCATATTAAAGCAAAATAATTAAATACATTATCTGAGTAATTTTTTTTAAACATAAATTATACATTTGTATACGAAGTATGAGGCATGTATAGCAAAAACAAGTATTTCATACTTCAAATCGATGTTTTCTTACAAACAGTTGTTTTAAATAACTTCGTATGTTTCTATCGTTTGAGATGATGTCACTTTTACTAAGTCGATGCCATTGGTTTTGCTAGTGCATGCGTCACACTGTGATGCCGGAGCCGAGTAGCGGCATCAACATAAAGTAACCGAAATAATCTATTCACAGTCTCTAGGTAAACAAAAATGTTGCGAGAAAATAAAATAGAGATCTTATTCTAGTCGACTTACAGTAAATGGCTATATACCTCGTGGTTGCGACATTTCTTATAATGTAAGGGATCCACTACGGGGGAAGTCGATGAGTGTTAGAGCCGCAAGTGGCACTATGCATCGACATAAACATCAATAAGATAGTCGATAAATACATCTATTGGTTAATATAATTGTCATGATCGAAACGATTATGCCAATATCTATCGATAAACGTGCCCATAACCAACAGGGCAGGCAGACTTTCCAGATACAAGGTTTTCTCAACCTCAATATGCCTCTCTCGCGTCAAAAAATACCTAGTCCATTTAGAGCTCCCACTGTCTACAGACTTTATCAGCTGAATTTGATCGGGATAACCTGTCTAGCCAAATTCCTTTAAAACCAAATCGGTGTTATATACGCAACTCTAGAATGTTCATAATGATTTTGCGCCCAAAACTATCGGCCCATAAAGTCTGTATTATGCGTCAGCTCTCAGACAACTTGCTTTGCCTTAATTGGTAGGTAGTTAAATCAAACATTCCATGCATATTCCAGACACTTCTGCATTTCCTAACATACAGTAATCTTATCTTCTTCATTCCTTGCCTGCTCTTTATTACCAGACGCATTTCACTGCCGTTACAACTCATTCTTTAACTTTCTGCCAGCCCCATTCAATACCAAAGTAAAATTACTATTACATTAGAAGTTTCTGTCATACATATAAAAACAATAGTTTATAATGCATTAACTCGAAAAAATCTTCATCCCAAAATTCCTCGAATTCATCAAAAAACTTTACACAACTTCTAGTCAAACCGAATCCAAAAAAAAAAGAAAAATTCAATAATAGTCTTGCAATGTCCATCATCATAAAATAACTTTCCGCGGAAATACTTCAGAAGTATTGTTCAATTTTTAAACTAGGCATAACAACTTGACAAGTTTAAAAAAAATGCACTGACCTTTATTTGCTATTATACTTCTCACTACATGAATCTAAACACGAAAATTAACTATGAAGCTTCTTGCATTTATCTCATAAAAAAAAAAGATTTAATTGTGCATTATCATACAAAATAATACATCTCACATAACCTCCTTGAAACCTCTGTATTACATAATAATCCTCCAAAACAATTTTTCATAATGCATTATATATAATATTCAACAAAAAATTATTTCACTCCTCAAATCCTTTCTGAAATCAACTTCTTTAATAAATAGCAATATCGCTTTTAAAATCAAGACAATATTTCATAGTGCATAGAATTCCATAAATCATCCCATGTAAATCCTTCTTTAACCAAATGCAAATATAACATAACACTTTTATATATAAATATGTATTTGATTGTGCATAATTCTTACAGCATCCTATGTGCATATAGCAAAAAATGAGTGTTTTATATAACATATTGTGCATACTATTTGTATGCGATTGGATGCAAGTTAATACTCCTAAAACATCCAATATTTGTGTTGTTTTATCCTGGAATATATCATATTTTATTTCAATCTCAAATCATTTATAATCACACTCCACTGACCTCTAAAAATGGACAGAGATAAAATTAACTGTCATTAACATTAACAGGTGCATTTAAATTAGAAAACAGTTATATCCGAAATTTCCAAGCAGAGTCATCCATTTATACAGATCAGTGTCACACTCCCATAATATCCCTTGTCATTAGTAAGTTTTGAAATGTCCATCCATGTTCATGTCATGTCATATTTAAGGTATCTTCTAGAATAAATCTGCCGTATTTTATAAGGTACTATGCAACCTTACATAGGTTTTTAATTTTTATTTCAGAATTTAGTTCAGTTAATATCGAATGAAATCATTTGTATTTCATAACATTGACATGGACAAGTCCAAACTTCATTTCAAATTGTCTGAATATAAAATTAAAAACCTATGTGTATTTGTCCATTACTTCTATCTGTTAGTTCTCCTTATCTCTTTTCTATGTCATATTTGCATGTCATTTCCTTGCAAATTTCATATTTGTAAACCTTTCGATAGATTGGCTTTCGCCACGTCTTGTACTGCAACTCCGTGTTTTCGTCACATAATTAGAAATGTTATATGTTGTTCTTTCTCACATATTTTAGTAATTGCTTATCAAAGAATTTACATTAATTATCTCTATAGGTATAGTCAATAAAAGTCTTATATTTTCTGCCTATACACATAATAGGGATTGTCTCCTACTCATTAGCCGCCTTATAAAACACTTCCATAAAAACACTATTTTGTAACTAAAACCAACTTAAATACAAATTGATATAGTCTTGTCTAAGTTCACTTGGACATCCAGTAGTAATCGGAGTAGGGTT